GCAACCACTCACGTCACCAATGCCACCGCACCTCCCGCAGCCGCCACACCCGCCGCCAACGCCACACCAGCCATCGTCGCCGCCACCGTCACCGCCACCGTCACATCCATAGCCACCACCTCCACCGCAGCCACACCCGCCGCCAACGCCACACCCGCTTACGCCAACTCCAACGCCGCCAGGTAAATGCCACCACACACGTCACCAATGCCACCGCACCTCCCGCAGCCGCCACACCCGCCGCCAACGCCACACCCGCCATCGTCGCCGCCACCGTCACCGCCACCGTCACATCCATAGCCACCACCTCCACCGCAGCCACACCCGCCGCCAACGCCACACCCGCTTACGCCAACTCCAACGCCGCCAGGTAAATGCCACCACACACGTCACCAATGCCACCGCACCTCCCGCAGCCGCCACACCCGCCGCCAACGCCACACCCGCCATCGTCGCCGCCACCGTCACCGCCACCGTCACATCCATAGCCACCACCTCCACCGCAGTCACACCCGCCGCCAACGCCACACCCGCTTACGCCAACTCCAACGCCGCCAGGTAAATGCCACCACACACGTCACCAATGCCACCGCACCTCCCGCAGCCGCCACACCCGCCGCCAACGCCACACCAGCCATCGTCGCCGCCACCGTCACCGCCACCGTCACATCCATAGCCACCACCTCCACCGCAGCCACACCCGCCGCCAACGCCACACCCGCTTACGCCAACTCCAACGCCGCCAGGTAAATGCCACCACACACGTCACCAATGCCACCGCACCTCCCGCAGCCGCCACACCCGCCGCCAACGCCACACCCGCCATCGTCGCCGCCACCGTCACCGCCACCGTCACATCCATAGCCACCACCTCCACCGCAGTCACACCCGCCGCCAACGCCACACCCGCTTACGCCAACTCCAACGCCGCCAGGTAAATGCCACCACACACGTCACCAATGCCACCGCACCTCCCGCAGCCGCCACACCCGCCGCCAACGCCACACCCGCCATCGTCGCCGCCACCGTCACCGCCACCGTCACATCCATAGCCACCACCTCCACCGCAGTCACACCCGCCGCCAACGTCACACCCGCTTACGCCAACTCCAACGCCGCCAGGTAAATGCCACCACACACGTCACCAATGCCACCGCACCTCCCGCAGCCGCCACACCCGCCGCCAACGCCACACCCGCCATCGTCGCCGCCACCGTCACCGCCACCGTCACATCCATAGCCACCACCTCCACCGCAGTCACACCCGCCGCCAACGTCACACCCGCTTACGCCAACTCCAACGCCGCCAGGTAAATGCCACCACACACGTCACCAATGCCACCGCACCTCCCGCAGCCGCCACACCCGCCGCCAACGCCACACCCGCCACCGGCACCGGCACCGCTGCCTCCACAACCGCTACCACCGCCATCGCAGACACACCCGCCGCCAACGCCACACCTACCGACACCGCAGCGACACCTGCCGCAGCCGCCACCGCCGCCACATCCGACACAACTGCCACAACCTACGCAACCGCAACACCCGCCAACGCCCATGCCAAATCGTAAGCCAACGCATCCATCACCGGCGCCGCCACAAACGTCACCCCCGCACCGTCGCCACTCGAAGCGACATGTGGGGGATGAGGATGGATTGACAGGGGGGGAAACATGAGGGCAGCTCCGCCGGGGGCTGCATCACCAGAGGCGACGCCGCCGCCGCTGTTGCCGCATTTGCGGCACTCGAATGACAAGTGGGAAGGAAGTGACTCGAAGTGACTCGATGGACAGGTGGAGAAAGAGGACGACAGCTCCGCCGGCGGCTGCATCACCAGAGGCGACGCCGCCGCCGCTGTTGCCGCATTTGCGGCACTCGAATGACAAGTGGGAAGGAAGTGACTCGAAGTGACTCGATGGACAGGTGGAGAAGAGGACGGCAGCTCCGCCGGCGGCTGCATCACCAGAGGCGACGCCGCCGCCGCTGTTGCCGCATTTGGCGGCACTCGAATGACAAGTGGGAAGGAAGTGACTCGAAGTGACTCGATGGACAGGTGGAGAAGAGGACGACAGCTCCGCCGGCGGCTGCATCACCAGAGGCGACGCCGCCGCCGCTGTTGCCGCATTTGCGGCACTCGAATGACAAGTGGGAAGGAAGTGACTCGAAGTGACTCGATGGACAGGTGGAGAAGAGGACGACAGCTCCGCCGGCGGCTGCATCACCAGAGGCGACGCCGACGCCGCTGTTGCCGCAATTGGCAGCACTCGAATGACAACTGGGAAGGAAGTGACTCGATGGACAGGTGGAGAAGAGGACGACAGCTCCGCCGGCGGCTGCATCACCAGAGGCGACGCCGCCGCCGCTGTTGCCGCAATTGGCGGCACTCGAATGACAAGTGGGAAGGAAGTGACTCGAAGTGACTCGATGGACAGGTGGAGAAGAGGACGACAGCTCCGCCGGCGGCTGCATCACCAGAGGCGACGCCGCCGCCGCTGTTGCCGCAATTGGGCGGCACTCGAATGACAAGTGGGAAGGAAGTGACT